CATCTACAGAACGTGAAGAACCAGTGGCATCTACAGAACGTGAAGAACCAGTGGCATCTACAGAACGTGAAGAACCAGTGGCATCTGCAGACCGTGAAGAACCAGTGGCATCTACAGAACGTGAAGAACCAGTGGCATCTACAGAACGTAAAGAACCAGTGGCATCTACAGAACGTGAAGAACCAGTGGCATCTACAGAACGTGAAGAACCAGTGGCATCTACATCTACAGAACGTGAAGAACCAGTGGCATCTACAGAACGTGAAGAACCAGTGGCATCTACAGAACGTGAAGAACCAGTGGCATCTACAGAACGTGAAGAACCAGTGGCATCTACAGAACGTGAAGAACCAGTGGCATCTGCAGACCGTGAATAACCAGTGGCATCTACATCTGCAGGATATTCTACAACTTTGAAAGCCATTCCCCGTGTTTAGTGTACACGCCGTACAACACGTTTGGAATCGACAGGAGTAAAGTTGGACTTACGAACAGATCCCCCCCCCCCCCTGGATCCTAACTCGTTGGTAAGTAAAGGAGTCCCTAGATTGAGTTTGTATTTATGGACTGGACTCACAAACATCTCCCTGAAGTCCATTACTCACCCACACCAGGTACTTACTCATTAAAGGCTGAGTTGACCTGGGGGGGGGCCCGGAACCCGGTTCAGATGTTAGCCGTGAGTTCGAACCTCCTCCACTCCACACACACACAATCAACGCACCCCTCTGAGTACACAAACACACAAAGTGTCGGGGAAAGTGCTCTGTGAGAAGAGAGGGCGCCTTTTAGATGACAAGGGTGATGATGGTGGTGTGGAGTTGGTAGTTTTAACACGACCGAGACGCCTTTCTGTCCCTTTGCCGTGGAGACTCACGCAACGTGGAACTCGATCTCACACTCACACCCAAAATACACTGCCAAGACACGGGCAAAGGTCCCCCGTGTAGCCTTGGCAGTCTGATGAGACAAGTGCTGTTAGCCGGCACGACACACGAGGGGGTGGGTGGCCAACACCACACCCGGCCGCCTTTGTCTCCCCAGCGGTGATGTTTACTCACCACACCCAGGTACTCGTTTGAGGCTGAGTCGACCTCGGGGAGACCCAGGACCGGTTCAGATAATCGTCACTGTGGTGTTGGTGACGCCGTGCACTGCACTAACGCTCCCCACTCCCACACAAACACTCACACACAAACACTCACACACCACACTCCCTCACACACACCACACACACCATTCCACACACACACACCCCACTCTCTCCCACATACACAGATCACTCTCCCCCACACACACCACTCCCCATACACACACACACACCACACACACACCACACACACCCCACACACACACCACACACACACCACACACACACACCCCACACACACCACACACACACACCCCCACACACACACCCACACACACCACTCCCCACACACACACCACACACACACCACCACACACACACCACACACACATACAGACACCACACACACACCACACACACACCACACGCACACACCACACACACCACACACCACACCACACACACAGACACCACACCAAACACACACCCACACACACACACAGACACCACACCAAACACACACCCCACACACACACCCCACACACACACACACACCACACACACACCCCACACACACACACACACCACACACACCCCACACACACCCCACTCACACACCACACACACCACTCCCCACACACACACACACACACACCACTCCCCACACACACCACACACACACACACCACACACACACACACACACCACACACACACTCCCCACACACACACACACTCCCCACACACACACACACACTCCCCACACACACACACACACCACTCCCCACACAAACCACACACACACACCACACACACACACACCACACACACACACACCACACACACACACCACACACACACTCCCCACACACACACACACACACTCCCCACACACACACACACACACTCCCCACACACACACAAACTCTCTCCCACACACACCACTCCCCACACACACTACTCTCTCCCAGACACACCACACACACACCACTCCCCACACACACACCACTCCCCACACACACACCCCATCACACACCACCACAAACACCACTCTCTCCCACTCACACCACACACACACCACTCTCTCCCACACACACAACACACACCACACACACCACTCCACACACACCACACACACCACTCCCCACACACTCCCCCCACACACACACCACTCTCTCCCACACACACACACTCCACACACACACCACTCCCCACACACACACCCCATTACACACACCACACACACCACCACAAACACCACTCTCTCCCACTCACACCACACACACCACTCTCTCCCACACACACAACACACACACACCACTCCACACACACCACACACACCACTCCCCACACACTCCCCACACACACACACCACTCTCTCCCACACACACTCCACACAAACCACTCTTCACACACTCCCCATACACCACACACTCCCCACATACACACCCCACACACACACCACACACCACTCCCCCACACACACCACCACACACACCACACAAACACTCCACACACACACCAACCACACACACACACTACTCCCCACACACACACACACACCACACACTCCCCACACACCACTCCCCCACACACACCACCACACACACCACACAAACACTCCACACACACACCAACCACACACACACACACCACACACACACACTACTTCCCCACACACCACACACACCCCACACACACCACACCACACATACCACACACACACACCACACACACACACCACACACACCACACACTCCCCACACACCACACACACCCCACACACACCACACCACACATACCACACACACACACCACACACAAACACACACACACCACTCCACACACACACCGCTCTCTCCCACACACACACACCACACACATCACACAAACACTGCACACACAACACACACACACCCCACACACACCACACACACACGCTCCACACACAAACACTGCACACACAACACACACACCACACACACTACTCCCCACACACACACCCCCACATCACACACACACACCACACACACACACCACACACACACCACACACACACACCACACCACACACACACCACACACACACCACACGCACCACACACACACACCACACACACCACACACACCACACACACACACACCACACACACACCCCACACACACACCACACACACACCCCACACACACCACACACACACCCCCCCACACACACACACACACACCCCACACACACAGCACACACACCACTCACACACCACACACACCACTCACACACCACACACACCACTCCCCACACACACACACACCACTCCCCACACACACTCCCCACACACACCACACACACCACACACACACTCCCCACACACACCACTCCCCACACACACCACTCCCCACACACACACACTCCCCACACACACACACACCACTGTCTCCCACACACACCACACACACCACTCCCCACACAAACCCCATCACACACACACCACACACACACACACAACCACAAACACCACTCTCTCCCACTCACACCACACACACCACTCTCTCCCACACACACAACACACACACACCACTCTCTCCCACACACACAACACACCACACACACCACTCCACACACACCACACACACCACTCCCCACACACTCCCCACACACACACACCACTCTCTTCCACACACACACACACACTCCACACACACACACACACACCACACACACTCCACACACACACCCCACACAAACCACTCTCCACACACTCCCCATACGCCACACACTCCCCACACACACACCCCACACACACACCCCACACACACCACACAAACACTCCACACACACACCAACCACACACACACCACACTACTCCCCACACACACACCACACACTCCCCCACACACCACATACCACACACACACCACACACAAACACACACACACCACTCTCTCCCACATACACACACCACACACATCACACAAACACTGCACACACAACACACACACACCCCACACACACCACACACACACCACTCCCCCCATACACACACCACACACACACACTACTCCCCACACACACACACCACTCCCCCCCATACACACACCACACACACACACACTACTCCACACACACACACACCACTCCCCCCATACACACACCACACACACACTACTCCCCCCACACACACACCACACACACACACTACTCCCCCCATACACACACCACACACACACACTACTCCCCACACACACCACACACACACTACACTCCCCCCATACACACACCACACACACCACTCAAACACTGCACACACAACACACACACAACACACACACACCACACCCCCCATACACACACCACACACACCACTAAAACACTGCACACACACCACACACACACCACACTCCCCCCATACACACACCACAACACACCACTCAAACACTGCACACACAACACACACACACAACACACCCCCATACACACACCACACACACACACTACTCCCCACACACACACACCACACACACACCACACACACACCACACTCCCCCCATACACACACCACACACACCACTCAAACACTGCACACACAACACACACACACAAACCACACCCCCCATACACACACCACACACACACACACTACTCCCCACACACACACAACACACACACCACTCAAACACTGCACACTACTCCCCACACACACACACCACTCCCCCCATACACACACCACACACACACACTACTCCCCACACACACACAACACACACACCACTCAAACACTGCACACACAACACACACACACAAACCACACCCCCCATACACACACCACACACACACAACACACACACCACTCAAACACTGCACACACAACACACACACCACACACACACGCATCACTTTCTCCCGGCTGGACTCACTCGTTGCCGCCGCCGCTGTTGTTGTTGCTGTTGCCGCCACCGGCGACCACCATCACTGTGCCGACGTCTTCACCACCACCAACAACAACAACCACCACCACAACAACAACAACTATTGCAAGGACGACTGCACGGGCCTACTCGCCGCGCCGGGAACGACGGAGGACGAGGAGAAGGAGGAGGAGACGGATGAGGTGGAGCGAGCGACCGGAACCACACAATCTCCGCCCCGCCCCCCACCTCGAGGTGGGAGGGGCCCGGGGCGGACGTTGCGGAGCGGGTAGCGACGACGTCGGGAGGCGAAGGGGGCGGCCCTCACTCACTCTCTCTGTGTGTCTCACTCACTGTCTCTCTGTGTGTGTGTCTCTGTGTGTCTCACTCACTCACTCTGAGTCTCTCTCACTGTCTCTCTGTGTCTCACTCACTCACTCTGAGTCTCTCTCACTGTCTCTCTGTGTCTCACTCACTCTCTCTGTGTGTCTCACTCACTGTCTCTCTGTGTGTGTGTCTCTGTGTGTCTCTGTGTGTCTCACTCACTCTGAGTCTCTCTCACTGTCTCTGTGTGTGTCTCTGTGTGTCTCACTCACTCACTCTGAGTCTCTCTCACTGTCTCTGTGAGTCTCCCTCACTCACTCACTCTGAGTCTCTCTCACTGTGTCTCTGTGTCTCCCTCACTCACTCTGAGTCTCTCTCACTGTCTCTCTGTGTCTCACTCACTCTCTCTGTGTGTCTCACTCACTGTCTCTCTGTGTGTGTGTCTCTGTGTGTCTCTGTGTGTCTCACTCACTCTGAGTCTCTCTCACTGTCTCTCTGTGTGTGTGTCTCTGTGTGTCTCACTCACTCACTCTGAGTCTCTCTCACTGTCTCTCTGTGAGTCTCCCTCACTCACTCACTCTGAGTCTCTCTCACTGTCTCTCTGTGTCTCTGTGTGTGTCTCACTCACTCACTCTGAGTCTCTCTCACTGTCTCTCTGTGTCTCACTCACTCTGTGTGTGTGTCTCACTCACTGTCTCTCTGTGTGTGTGTCTCTGTGTGTCTCTGTGTGTCTCACTCACTCTGAGTCTCTCTCACTGTCTCTCTGTGTGTGTGTCTCTGTGTGTCTCACTCACTCACTCTGAGTCTCTCTCACTGTCTCTGTGTGTCTGTCTCTGTGTATCTCTCTCACTGTCTTTGTGTGTGTCTCTCACTCACTCTGAGTCTCTCTCACTGTCTCTGTGTGTGTCTCTCACTCACTCTGTGTGTCTCTGTGTGTGTCTCTCTCACTGTCTCTGTGTGTGTCTCTCACTCACTCTGTGTGTCTCTGTGTGTGTCTCTCTCACTGTCTCTGTGTGTTTCTCTCACTCACTCTGAGTCTCTGTGTGTGTCTCTGTGTGTCAATCTCTCTGTCACTCACTCACTCTGAGTCTCTGTGTGCGTCTCTCTCTCTGTGTGTCTCTCACTCTTGAGTCTATGTGTGTCTCTCTCACTCACTCTGTGTCTCTCTCTCACTCTGTGTCTCTGTGTCACTCTATCTTCTAGCAGGGACGTGCGGTCAGGGAAGGCAGGGGAGGCAAAGCCTCCTCCTCACCACCTGTCATACGCCAATGAAAATAGCTGTTATGAAAAGTAAAAAAAAATGAAATAAATATTTAAAAAATGTCCACCGATCTGTGTTATAAATGCGATTTCTGTACGATTCTAATAATTTTTATAGTCAAAATCGACAAATTTGCGGAGGTCCGCTGCAAATACAGGAAGAGACGAGAGGTGAGGCAGCGACGAGCTCAGCCTCCCCTCTGATTGTGCAACCCCTCAGTAACTGGATGGAGCGTGGGTAATAAGCTTGTGCCTGTTACTATCTCAGTGTATCACCAATGTAATGTTTGTAGACCCCTTCATTTCATGTCCTCGCCTTCCATACTCCAGCTAACTTATTTCACGTATGTGTATAAAGATATTTAGACTCGCTGGTCTTGTCGTGAAACTGCAATGAAAAGGCACCAGGGGAGGCAGCTATCACATCTGCCTCACTGAGGGGGGCGTGTCTAACACGCCCCCTCAGTGTGTGAATCTGACTCTGACACTCGCCAGTGCACGTCACTGCTCTCTCGTCTCCCTCTTAACTCTCCTCGCTCCCTCCTCCCTCCCTCTCCTCCCCTGCTCCCTCCTCCCTCCCTCTCCTCCCCTGCTCCCTCCTCCCTCCCTCTCCTCCCCTGCTCCCTCCTCCCCCCCTCTCCTCCCCTGCTCCCTCCTCCCTCCCTCTCCTCCCCTGCTCCTTCCTCCCTCCCTCTCCTCCCCTGCTCCCTCCTCCCTCCCTCTCCTCCCCTGCTCCCTCCTCCCTCCCTCTCCTCCCCTGCTCCCTCCTCGCTCCTCTCCTCCCTGCTCCCTCCTCCCTCCCTCTCCTCCCCTGCTCCCTCCTCCCTCCCTCTCCTCCCCTGCTCCCTCCTCCCTCTCCTCCCTGCTCCCTCCTCCCTCCCTCTCCTCCCCTGCTCCTCCCTCCCCTCTCCTCCCCTGCTCCCTCCTCCCTCCCTCTCCTCCCCTGCTCCCTCCTCCCTCCCTCTCCTCCCCTGCTCCCTCCTCCCTCCCTCTCCTCCCCTGCTCCCTCCTCCCTCCCTCTCCTCCCCTGCTCCCTCCTCCCTCCCTCTCCTCCCCTGCTCCCTCCTCCCTCCCTCTCCTCCCCTGCTCCCTCCTCCCTCCCTCTCCTCCCCTGCTCCCTCCTCCCTCCCTCTCCTCCCCTGCTCCCTCCTCCCCCCCTCTCCTCCCCTGCTCCCTCCTCCCTCCCTCTCCTCCCCTGCTCCCTCCTCCCTCCCTCTCCTCCCCTGCTCCCTCCTCCCTCCCTCTCCTCCCCTGCTCCCTCCTCCCCTCCCTCTCTTCCCCTGCTCCCTCCTCCCTCCCTCTCCTCCCCTGCTCCCTCCTCCCTCCCTCCCTCTCCTCCCCTGCTCCCTCCTCCCTCCCTCTCCTCCCCTGCTCCCTCCTCCCCCCCTCTCCTCCCCTGCTCCCTCCTCCCTCCCTCTCCTCCCTCCCCTGCTCCCTCCTCCCTCCCTCTCCTCCCCTGCTCCCTCCTCCCTCCCTCTCCTCCCCTGCTCCCTCCTCCCTCCCTCTCCTCCCCTGCTCCCTCCTCCCTCCCTCTCCTCCCCTGCTCCCTCCTCCCTCCCTCTCCTCCCCTGCTCCCTCCTCCCTCCCTCTCCTCCCCTGCTCCCTCCTCCCTCCCTCTCCTCCCCTGCTCCCTCCTCCCTCCCTCTCCTCCCCTGCTCCCCTCCTCCCCCCTCTCTCCTCCCCTGCTCCCTCCTCCCTCCCTCTCCTCCCCTGCTCCTTCCTCCCTCCCTCTCCTCCCCTGCTCCCTCCTCCCTCCCTCTCCTCCCCTGCTCCCTCCTCCCTCCCTCTCCTCCCCTGCTCCCTCCTCCCTCCCTCTCCTCCCCTGCTCCCTCTCCTCCCTCCCTCCTCCCCTGCTCCCTCCTCCCTCCCTCTCCTCCCCTGCTCCCTCCTCCCTCCCCTCCTCCTCCCTGCTCCCTCCTCCCTCCCTCTCCTCCCCTGCTCCCTCCCTCCTCCCCCCCTCTCCTCCCCTGCTCCCTCCTCCTCCCTCTCCCCCCTGCTCCTTCCTCCCTCCCTCTCCTCCCCTGCTCCCTCCTCCCTCCCTCCTCCTCCCCTGCTCCCTCCCCCCCCTCCCTCCCTCCTCCCCTGCTCCCTCCTCCCTCCCTCTCCTCCCCTGCTCCCTCCTCCCTCCCTCTCCTCCCCTGCTCCCTCCTCCCTCCCTCTCCTCTCGCTTCCTCTCTGCAACCCTCGTTTCCTTCCACTCGCCTCTCTTGTCATCTCTTACGCTCCATCTCGTCTCGCTATCTTCCTATCCCCCCCCCCCCTCTCTCATCTCTCTCTCATCTCTCTGTCTTCCTATCCCCCCCCCCTCTCATCTCTCTCATCTCTCTGTCTTCCTATCCCCCCCTCTCATCTCTCTCATCTCTCTGTCTTCCTACCCCCCCCCTCTCATCTCTCTCATCTCTCTGTCTTCCTGTCACCTCTCTCTTCCTGTCCCTCGCCTCTCTCTCTCTCCACCCTCATCTCTCTCCTCCTCCCTCTCATCTCTCCCTGACCCTCACCGTCAACCTCACGATGGCAGTGACAGTCACATTTACAAGCCTCGCCGCTCACAAGACCCGCTCGTGCCAGGCTAGGTGCACGGTGTGGTCAAAAGATATCCCATACAGCCTTCAACAGAACGTGGAGCCACGCGCTCGACAGCGTCGTGGTCTCGCTCACACCCAGACACCCCGGGCCACAGGACGACTCCAGTTCACGTGAAACAATGTGAAGGCGCAGCCCTGCAAGTGCCATTGCCTGTGGAGGAGACCTCCACTCGAGACAGCCCCTCTGCCGTGGGGGGGGGGGGGGGGGTACATCTCAGAAGAAGCCGGAGTACCCACACTTCACCCCCCACCCACACCGCAAGCGATGTGCCCATCATTGACTGTGACCCTCATGCAACTTGCGCTGCGTCGCGATAATTAACTTGGCGGGAGGGGGTGGAGCTTGGGTGGAACCACGATGACCGATGGTGAAAAGGATGTTGCTGCTGCTACTATTATTATTACTACCCAATAATGTTAGTGTGTAACGCGCGTGACGTCACTCCACCAGCCCCCCCCCCCTCATTAATAATCATGAGCGGGTGACGTCACTCCGCATGGAGAACCCCTCCCCCCTCATTAATAATCATGAGCGGGTGACGTCACTGCGCATGGGGGGGGGGGCGAGGCGCCTCCTCCCCCCTCCTCGGCGTCAACTCACAGCCCCCACGACCAAGGGCAGAACCCTCACGTCGTCACGTGGTCTCCGTCACGCTGCTGTTGAGACATCAAAGTAAAAAGGACGTCGTGATGAACGAGGGATTATTACTTTGAATGAAATAGGTCCGTGTCTCCGCGCCCTAACAGATTGCACACGAATTGATGCATATCACGTCGCGGTCTGCTCTTCGCTTGCAAGTTTCAGATTCGCTGCAATACACCAATCCTTGGACGGGCAAAATGCGAATAATAAAATATCTGCTTTGAAGAAGGGTCATTGCCCGAAACGTCTCCTGTTATTATTGACACGGAGCGTGTTGAGTTTGTTGTTGTAGTTGGTTTTGTTTGTGCACCACTGCCAACGCAGCAGCTGCGGCATCGCCCCGAACTATTGGTGGAAATTCCACGTTCCTATGGCGAGTCTAAACAGGCGACAACCACCGTTAGATATCACGTCCGACCCATCGTGGAATTAAAAACAATGCACCTGCCCGTCTCAGCGTGCTGACTCGCTAACAGCACTTGCCCCCAGCACTTTTTTAAAAGGCTACACGGGGGATCTTTGTCTTTGTTGCGCGCTCGCTTGTGGGGAGCGGTGGCGCAGTGGTTAGCGCCACTGCGCTACCAACCCGGCGACCCGAGTTTGATTCCCGTTCAGCGGCGAATATCTGAACCGGTCCTGCGCATCGCCGAAAATCTGCTCAACCTGAAATCACTTTCCTGGTCGGCTGTGCTGGGGGGGGATGGCCCAGACTTTGGTGATTGCCCACCTTCATAGAGGCTGTCGTCTCGCTTGGCAGGCAGAAGAGCTATAAGGCGGGGCGGACACACCGAGGAGTTCACAAACAGGCGGACACATCGTCTGATAGTCGCGCAGACACACCGCCAGTGTGGTGGTACCACACACAAGCCAACAGGCTAACACACACTCACACACGCACAGGGGTCAGGCGATACGCTGGTGAACACACAACCTCGCTGACGGTGCCACGAGGCGATCGACAATCTGCCAGCAGGCGAGGCGACGCGCCACAAAGACGACACCTCCCTCCGATCTATAAATACGCGCGAGTCCGTGGCGATCAGTCGCGCTCAGGTTGCGCTCAGCCCAACTCCCGGCGGGTTGCGTGCGACCAGGTTGCGTGCGACCGATCGCTTCGCTTGAACGCACGCGTGAGTGTGCGCGTTGCGCGCTCGCACACGCGCAAGAGATGGCACGTGTAGCCCCACGCACACGATTCGAGGGCAAGTGCCTCTAGCGGGCAGCATCTGTGAAGGTCGGCACGGCACACGGGGGGGTGGGTGGCCAGCACCACGCCCGGCCGCCTTTGTCTCCCCAGTGGCGATGCTTACACACCGCACCGAGTACTCATCTGAGGCTGAGTCGACCTAGGGGAAGCCCAGAACAGGTTCAGAAAATCGTCACTGATTTTTGGCCGTGAGCGGGAATCGAACTCTGCTCACAGCCGGGTTCGTAGCGCAGCGTAGCGCTAACCGCTGCACCACCGCTCCCCCCCACACACTCAGCACGCTCCAACACTCTCAGCTCACACGCGCTCACACGAACGGGAATGACGCAGCGCGCTCCGCTCAACGTGACGGACGCGCAGGACGGCTGGAGCTGCCTCCTGTCGGCGCTCCTGGCGATCGGCACCGAGTCTGAGAGTTCGGCTGAGCGGTGCCACGGGGAGACCGCGACCCGGGGGTCAGACGAGGGGACGGCGGCTGCGGTCGAGATGGTGGCATGGGCGGCCGGGGCCACGCCGCCCCCCCTGATAGACGCGTGGCTGGTGCCCCTCGTGTTCGCCCTCATCATGGCCCTGGGGCTCACGGGGAACCTCTTGGTGGTGGTCGTCGTCGGCAGGAACAGGCAGATGCGGACCGTCACCAACTTCTACATCGGTAAGGGGGGGGGAGAGAGGGGCACGCATAGAACACAGACACCGAGACGCAGAGACAAACATCCACAGTGATGTAGCCTTCGGTAAAGTCACGTCGGTATTAAATTGGACAACGCTTGTGTTGATATGTGCGTGTGTTGAACTTCGTTCGCACCGTACGTAGCCGACCGTGCTGACCGGATGGGCAGAACAGCGATACAATACAGAGATGCAGACACACATCATCAACATCATCATCATCGTTCCGCTCATGTAGATATTATTAAAGTCTATTTAAAACAGAAATGAATATGCAAAAGAAAAAAAAAACTATTCACTTAAAGCTTTCGTGACTGCAGGGATTCATATTCTTGGGTCACATAAAAAAAAACGACGTCGTTTCGATCGCAACACAAGCGGTCGCATGTTGCGATCGAAACGTCGTAGTTTTTTTTTGTTATTTTCTTTGAACCTATCTACGTGACTTTACCGAAATATCCAGGAATATAAAAAAAACAACACTCTTAGGTTTTTTTTCAGTAAAGTCACGTAGGTAAAAAATAATAATTCAAAAATAATAACAGGAATAAAATAAAAAATCACGACGTTTCGGAGGCAACACAAGTCTCCGTCATCAGGTGGGACCGTCACAGCTAATTTTACTGCATCAAGTGATATCACGTCGTGATTTATTATTTTATTTCTATTATTATTAAGAGTATGAATCCTTGCAGTCACGAAAGCTTTAAATCTAGAAAGAAAAAAAAACAATGTTATAGGCAAATAAAAAATATTGGGGGGGGGGGGGCACAGGACATCTGGACCATCACGTACAGTATACATTTTGGACTGTATATTGCTTTAGCCAAAGCAGTCGCTGGCGATGATTTAGTATCTGTGTTTCGAGAGCCGCGGTTGACCGAACAACGGCTCGCTCAGATGCGTTCAAAGCAGTCGTGGGGGCGATGATTTAGTTGCTGGGTTTCCAGAGCCGTGGTTGACCGAGCAACTTCTCGCTCAGATGCGGACAAAGCAGTCGTGGTGGGCGATGATTTAGTATCTGGGTTTCGAGAGCCGTGGTTGACTAAGCAACTGCTCGCTCAGATACGGACAAAGCAGTCGTGGAGGCGGTCACCGCCGCTACTGCCGCTACGATCCCCGCTGCTGCTGCTGTGCCCACAGCGAACCTGGCATGCACGGACGTCATCTTCCTGGTGAGCTGCGTGCCCTTCACGGCCACGCTCTACCCACTGCCCAGCTGGGTGTTCGGGGACTTCATGTGCAAGTTCGTCAACTACCTTCAGCAGGTGACCGTCGGCTTGCCAGTGGTGACGTCGTGCACACGTGGGGGGCTGTGTGTCCACCCCCAGCCCCCACACGCCACCCCTTCGTCATGTGGCGTGTGAGTGAGAGTGTGGGTGAGTGTGAGTGAGTGTGAGAGTGTGTCAGTGAGAGTGGGTGAGTGTCAGTGAGAGTATGAACGAGTCTAGATGAGTGTGAAAAAACATAAGAATATAGTGTGAGTATGGATGAGTGTGAGTGTGGGTGAGTGTGTGAGTGAGTGTGAGTGAGTGAGAGTGAGTAGTGTGAGTGAGTGAGTGTCAGTGTGAGTGTGAGTCTGAGTGTCAGTGTGAGTGAGTGTGAATGAGTGAGTGTGAATGAGTGTGAGTGAGTGTGTGAGAGAGTGAGTGAGAGTGAGTGAGAGTGAGTGAGTGAGAGTGAGTGAGAGTGAATGAGTGAGAGTGAGTGTAGATGAGTGTGAGTGAGTGTGGGTGAGTGTCAGTGATTGATGCTCGCTCACAAGCACTTGCCCCAACAGTCCGTCGCAGGCTACACGGGGGACCTTTGCCTGTTGTGTGTTCGCGAGCGACCAGGTGACGGTGCAGGCCACGTGCGCTACGCTCACGGCCATGAGCATCGACCGCTGCTACCTTGCGCTGCGACCCCTCAAGTCGCTCTACCGCCGCACCACGCGTCTCGCTCTCTCCGTCAGCGCGGCCATCTGGACGGGTACCAGGGGGGGCAGGGGGGCAGGGGGGCAGTGCCCCCATCTGGACGGGTACCAGGTGGGGGAGGGGGCAGCACCGTCGTCCGAGCCTGCCGCTGTTCACGCCCCACCACGAGGGGGCGACGTTGTCGAGCGGTGATCCGAACCACCCCCAACTCCGTCCCGTCCAGAGAAATTCGCGGCGCGATTTGTCGAACTTGGGCCACTGCGGACGGCGAGGCGGGCGCACGGCTGGGTCGGCTCCGGCGGAACTCCCTCGAGCGGCAGATGGCCGGATCTTTAACGTTACCCACGACTGGAATTTAAAATGAAAAACCATCCTCAACTATACTCTGGGAAATTCTTGGTTCTTTCGGTAAAGGCACGTAAGGTGGAAAATATTAATTTAATTTAATTAAAATGTAAATTTAAATGTAAATTAAAAGCAAACAAAACCACGACGTTTCGATCGCAACACAAGCGGCCTTCATCAGGCGGAGAGATGAAGACTGCGTGTGTTACGATCGAAACGTCGTGGGTTTTTTGCTTTTATTTTTAATTTCAATTAATTTTTAAATTGTAACTTTATTTTATTTTTAGTTTCTATCTACGTGACTTTACTGAAAGAACCAAAGAATATGAATTCCTGCAGTCACGAAAGTTTTAAGTCAATTTTTAATCCTCAATTACCGCTGCGACCACCCTACCCCAAACCTCCCCAACTGCTCAACGCTTGGCCAGGAACCTCTTGAAAACCAACCAGCGTCTTGAGACTCAGTGAAGACGGGTACACACGATAAAGAAAAATGATAACAGTGGTGGTGATGCTGCTGGTGATGATGATGGTGATGATGGTGGTGGTGATGGTGATGATGGTGGTGGTGATGGTGGTGATGATAGTGATGATGCTGATGGTGATGATGATGGTGATGATGATAGTGATGATGGTGGTGATGATGGTGATGCTGCTGGTGATGATGATGGTGATGATGGTGGTGATGATGATGGTGATGCTGCTGGTGATGATGGAGATGAGCATGGTGGTGATGATGATGGTGATGCTGCTGGTGATGATGGTGATGCTGCTGGTGATGATGATGATGGTGATGCTGCTGGTGATGATGATGGTGATGCTGCTGGTGATGATGATGATGGTGATGCTGCTGGTGATGATGGTGATGATGGTAATGCTGCTGGTGATGATGATGGTGATGATGGTGATGCTGCTGGTGATGCTGCTGGAGATGATGGTGGAAGACATCAGCGCGATCGTTGTCGGTGCACGAGGAGCGGCTGACTAAAGGTGTCTGACACGCGGGGAAGGCGAATCACGACTCACCCTCGCATCCCGTTCATCGCCAAATGAGAATTGCCGCCCCTCCACTCCCTCCCCCCCTCACCCCTCCACCCCCCTCGCCCCTCCACTCCCTCCCCCCTCCCCTCACCCCTCCACTCCCTCCCCCCCTCCCCTCGCCCCCCACTCCCTCCCCCCTCCCCTCGCCCCTCCACTCCCTCCCCCCTCCCCTCACCCCTCCACCCCCTCGCCCCTCCACTCCCTCCCCCCTCCCCTCACCCCTCCACCCCCTCGCCCCTCCCCCTCCCCTCACCTCACCCCCCTCGCCTCCACTCCTCCCCCCTCAACCCTCCACCCTCTTGCCCCTCCAACCCTTCCCCCCTTCCCCTCACCCCTCCACCATCCTCTCCTCCACTTCCCCTCCCCCCCCCTCACCACTCCACCCACCCTCGCCCTCCACTACCTCCCCCCCCTCACCCCTCCACCATCCCTCCCTCCACTCCCTCCCCCCTCACCCCTCCACCTCCTCGCCCTCCACTCCTCCCTCTCACTCTCCCCCCTCCTGCCCCTCCACCCCTCCCCCCTCACCCCTCCCCCTCCTCGCCCCTCCACTCCTCCCCACATCACCCCTCCACCCTCCTCGCCCTCCACTCCCTCCCCCCCTCAACCCTCCCCCTCCTTGCCCCTCCAACCCGTCCCCCCTCCTCACCCCTTCAAAAAAAACCTCCTCGCCCTCAACTCCTACCCCCCCGTCACCCCTCCACCCCCCTCGCCCTCACTCCCTCCCACCCTCACCCCCCACCTCCTCGCCCCTCCAATCCCTCCCCCCCGCACCCCCTCCACCCCCCTCGAACCTACACTCATCCCCCACTCACCCCTCCCCCCACCTAGCCCCTCCACTCACTACCCCAGCACCCTCCACCCTCTAGCCCTCCACTCCCTCCCCCCCCCTCACCCCTCCACCCTCCTCGCCCCTCCACCCTCCCTCCCCCCCTCCCCTCACCCCTCCACCCCTCCTCGCCCCTCCACTCCCTCCCCCCCTCCCCTCACCCCTCCACCCTCCTCGCCCCTCCCCTATCGCCCTTTCGTGACCCCCCACGTGCCCTATGTTACGGCCACTCATTCCTCGGCCCTGACGCTCACTGCCTCTGGCCATCTAAATCACTCAAATGTTGTCACGGCTTTTCACAACTCTGTTATAGACAGCGCCTTGAGCTCCTGTATCCTGGCTGCCAACCACAGACCAGTTCAGACCTCATAGGTCACCCCCGTGCCCTTAAAAATCTCAACGTTCATTCCTACAAAGTCACATCACAAGGGAGAAACACAAACAAATAGACAACACAACTTTTGCTTGCCCGTATTGAAACGGCTGTACGCCCTGTGGACCTGAAAATTAAATTTCCCTGCACAAGAATACGGCTCAACGGTATATGGGTTGACAGCTACAGTTCAAACAAGAAAACGATTCATCAACGGCCTTGTGGGGCTCACGTGGGAGATGCCCACGTGGGCGGGGGGGGGTGCCCACGTGGGCGGCGGGGTGCCCACGTGGCCACGTTTGACGATGCTCAAGGCCACCCACGGCTCTAGGGAGAGGATGTAGAGCGGCCACTGATCTAGACAAAGATTTTCCCGGATAGCCGCCACGTACTGTCGGGGCAAGCTGCGGTCACCTGCCACATTTAAAAATGGCCGAATTAGCATTCTCGATACGTAGAGAAACGTGCGATGAAGAAAGGGCCGTTGCCTGAAACGTCGCCCATGACATATGTAATTGCACTCGAGGCGACGCGCAGTGGTGTTGACACGGAACGTGCTGATGGGGTCGCTTTGTTCACTGCGCTGTTGCACCACTGCAGCCAACGCAGCCGCATCGCCGTGGCCAGGTGGGATGGCGGCCGCCAATAGAATCCACAGTAAAGGATAAAGGTTGTTGTTGGGGTTAGATCGCGTGAATATAAATGCGTCACCATCGGTAAAGTCACCATCGGTAAAGTCACGTAGACAAGATCAAAGAAAATAACAAAACAAAAAACTACGACGTTTCGATCGCAACACAAGCAATCGTCGTACTTAACGCGATCTGATCCCTCCCTGTCTCCCTCCCGTGTCCCCCCCCCCGCCACTCCGCCCCCCGCAGGGTCGTTCGTGGTCTCGCTTCCCGTGGCCCTGCACCACCGGGTGGAGGAGGGCTTCTGGTACGGCCCCCGGACCTACTGCGTGGAGAGCTTCCTGTCGGAGGGCCGCCGCGTGGCGTTCCTCCTCTACACCTTCGCGCTCACCTACCTGTTGCCCCTGCTCACCATCTGCCTCAGCTACGGATTCATGCTCAACCGCATCGGCCGCCCCGTCGTGCAGCCCGTCGACAACAACTACCAGGTGGGAGGCGACGGGACGGAGCCGCCTTTTGCGTTCAGTTTGTTGGCCTTCCCCCCGCGTCTCCGATTGGCGCGGTTGGCTACGTACGGTGCGAAAGAAGTTCCACAGACATATATGTGCCCCCCCCCTCCCTTCTGCGTGAGACCTCGGCAAAGCCGTCACCCCGGGGGGTGGGAGGGGGGGCGGAGGGATGTGGGGTGAGGGTCGTGCCCTGACCGCGGTTGTCCCGTCCCCCTCGCCGCCCGCTGGGTCCGTGCGCGCCAGGGGCAGCTGGTGTCGGAGCGCTCGCGGGCGGTGCACGCCGCCGTGTCCCGCATGGTCGTCGTCATCGTGGCACTGTTCGCCATCTGCTGGGGCCCCATCCAGATCCTCATCCTCTACCAGGTGACGCGCTCCCTCCCGTGACGCACCCACACACACACAGCATCACCCACCCACACAACCACTCACACCCTCACCCACACACCCACCCACACAACAACAACCGCCATTTGCCACTAAGTGGCGGTGACGTCACCACGACGCTTGTGCCAGGCTATGTGCACGTTGAGGCCACGTGAAGTGTCAAACGCGCGCTGGCAGGAGGTCACGGGGCAGACCCAGGTACCACGGGTCGACTCACCGAGATGACCGAGATGACTGGCTAATGCACCACCTGTGCCTCCTACTGTGCCAACTTGCTGTGCTTTAGCCACCCGGCGCTCCGCTCTTTGTTGTGAGCGTTGCTCCTCCGCCCTCCGTTATTGTTCGAGGGGGACTGCCTCCAACTGCCCAGTAGCGTCCTTCACGAGCCTCCTCCACTGAGGCCGATGTTGACATCGCTGGTACCAGTCATCAGCAAGTCCACTCTTCTCTAGCCCATGCCACGCCCATTTATCCCCCTCTATCAGGCCGAACAAAAGCTGTTTAGGCATGTGGTGGCTGGGCATGCGGGCTACATGACCCAGCCAACGCAGCCTTGCCTGCCGGAAGAGCTCACCGATGGGACTTTGTCCAGATCTTTCAAGGATTTGTGAGCTCTTCACACAATCCAGCCTGGTTAAACCCAGATGTTCCATTAGGGTAGTCTACGTTTTGCAAGCATATAGAAGGGATTGAATGACCGTGGCCGAGCAGACCTGAAGCTTCGTGCGGAGCAATAGACCAGATAGCTTCCACACAGCATTACGCAACCGATGAAAAATGACCAACTCGGGCATTGAAGTCGCCCAACAGGGGCCATTTTAGCTAACACCTGTGACAGAAGGTCATAGAAGCCATCTGACTCATCGGCCTTGCCTGCATCCCTCCACGGATGTTTGTCTTCAGTGGGGGCATAAGTAACCACGACCACCACTCCTCGCCTCCGGTTGATGGGAAGGCGAGCCCAAAGTAGTCTGGGGCTTACCGCTTCCCACACCTCACCGCCACGCTCCCACGCCCCCTTCATTCTTTTGTTCAGATGAAGAGCCACTCCCTGTTGTTTGGCAGTAGAGGACTGTCCACCCCTCATGCACATACACCCCCAACCACCCACACACCCCCACCCACCCACCCACACACCCCCACCCACCCACCCACACACATCCTCACCCACACACCCCCCCCCCCCCATTTTATTTTACCCCCGGCCCCGGCCCCGCTGCTGTTGGCGCCATCACGAGACGAATAATTCCCTCATCAAAACACTCCACCACAGGGCGCGTTGCATCTCCGACCAGCACCACCTAGCCAGTGAGTTGGAGCAGGTACACCAAGCACTCAGGGTGAACAGATACTCGGACTGTACAATCCGCAAAGCTGTCTCCCCAGCCATGCGGAGACAACCTTCTGAGGATCCGACCAAAACCATCACTTTTACCGTACATAGCAGGGGTTACCAAAAAGATTTCCAAAATCTTAAACAAACACAAGATCCAGGTTCGTTTCAACACAGTACACAAAATCCGTGATTTAATCCCATCTGTAAAGGATGTGATTCCTGCCATGCAATACCCCGGTGTCTACAAACTGAGTTGTGGTTGCGGCAGCAGTTACATTGGGGAAACTAAGCGACATGTCTCAGACCGCGTTCGTAAACACAAGGCAGATTTGAAACACGGTAGGACCAATACCTCTGCCATTGCCGATCATTGTTTTAACGCTGTGGGCTCACACGAAATTGATTTTTCTGAGACGGAGGTTCTCTGCAAACCTACCGGCTACCATCAGAGATGTATTCATGAAGCCATCCAGATATATAAACACAGACACAACTTCAACCGAGAAGATGGGTACAAACTAAGCAGTCATTGGAAGGACTTATTAACCAGGTAAAGTATTAGCTGACTGTGATGTTTCCATCCTACCTGCCTATGTCAGCTGTTATTTCCGACTCTCGGTGTCTCTCTCCTCTCTATGCCTCTCTCTTAGATCTCTCACATGTCCTTTGGAGTGCACTCTCATGGTGCTAATCTCTCATTAACACTGCCGTTGTGCGCATATGCGGGCATGATCCTCTGAAGCGGGATGGATGCTCATTCATGCTAATCTCCCTCCCTAATCCCTCTCTCCCCAATCTCCCCCATTAGCGCAACGGACGTGCTTGTGTCCGGGGGTTGAATTCCTTTCGAGCTCAGACCCCGCCTCCTTGCCCATCACCACATATATAATAACCTCTTGTTGTTGTAGCTGCTCTCTCGCTGGTTCAGCGGTTCCACTGCTGGATTATATTGTTTTCCGCCTGAGGACGACCGCTTGTGTTGCGATCGAAACGTCGTGATTTATTAAATTTTATACCCACGTGACTTTACCGAAAGAACCAAAGAGTATGGATTCCGGCAGTCACGAAAACTTCAAATCAAGAGCTTTACAGCTCGTCGGATCCCTCCGGGCGTGAATAAAGATCGCGACCGCGACGTGACGCACGTCGCTCGAGACGATCAACCCCCGCGGCTCTCTGGGTTCCCCCCCCTCAGGCCTTGGCACCGACGTTCTCGCACAGCTACGGCACCTACAAGCTGAAGATCTGGGCGCACTGCATGTCGTACGCCAACTCGGCGCTCAACCCCATCGTCTACGCCTTCATGGGCGGCTCCTTCCGCAAGCTCTTCCGCACGGCCTTCCCGCGTGTGTGCAACCGGCGCGTGCACGCCGCTCCTCCGCCGCCGCCGCCGCCGCCGTCGCCGCCGGCCGCGTCAGTCCCTGCCCCGGGCTCCTCCGCCCCGGGCTCCTCCGCCACCGGCTGCATCGCCGTGCTCCACGTGGAGATGGCGCGCATGGCCCAGGCACCGTAGCGGTGTCGGCGGCGCGAACTCGGCGGCGGCGGCGGAGCGAAGTTCCAGAGTCCGCACGGCCCAGCGGCGCACCGTAGCGATGACAATGCCGCCGCCGCGGCGGTTTGGGCCACGCTGCAGAGCCGAGTACCGAGTACCGCCGCCGCCACCGCACGACGGAGCTGGGGCGACCCGCGAGGCCCCGCAGACTCTGGCCCGCCGGCTCCGGACGGCGCGGTCACCACGACGGAGATCGCGATACCGCCGCAGCGGGTTAATGTTGCGGTTGTGGTTGTGGCGGACCGTGGTTGGGGCGTGATTGTGGCAGCTGTTGAATTCAACAACACACACCAGCGCAGTGCATGTAACAAAAACCGTCAGCTTTGTCGAGACCACCAGCTCGGTAGAGCGTAACGTGTGGTCGGATTCGTCGTTGAGACCACCCACCGACTCAAAAGAGGCTGCGCTCGCTGCTGCTTCTGTGGCTGTAGTCACCGTTGCTACGGTGATATGTCGTTGTTGTTGGTGGCTGCTGTGGTGGTTGTGGTTGCTTGTTGCTATGGGTAGGCTGTAGTCGTAGCTTTGCTCTTTAGCATCGGTTGGTGGTTGTGAGTGCGGTTGGAGCTATTCCTGCGATGGTGGTTGTTGTAGTTGTTGTGACAATTGTTGTTGTTGTGGTCTGATGCTGCAGTTGTGGATCGCTGCTGTGGTTGTAAGTGTTGCTGTCGTGGTGGTGGTGGTTGTAAGTGTAGCTGTAGTGGTATTGGTAAGTGTTGTTGTAGGTCGCAGTGGTGGTTGTTGTTGTTGCGAGCTGTAATTTTGGCTAGCGATCGTCACCAACCCCGCTGACCTTCTCGACCTGGATGAGCAGCCAAAGAGAAACCCCGAGGGTTTTGTCGAACACGCATCTCGCCGCCCGCTCGGGTTTGCGCGCTAGTGAAGAGGAGTTTTATTTATTTATTATCGCGCACCCCCTGCCCCCTACGAGACCATCTGTGCAACAAAGAGCTTCATAGCTCATCGGATTCCTCCTCCTGTCGTCTAAATAAAATATTCGGACTCAATGTGGAGGCGCTGCTGCTGTCCACAGCAGAGAGAGACTTTGTCGCTGTTCCTCATCCTCTTCCGTTGAAGGGGCGCAGACTGCCACAGCGGGTTCGCTCTGCGATCCGTAGCCTGGGTTGCGACGTTGGCACTGCTGTGGCTGGTCTTTCAGTTATCTCTATGTATCTCTCTATGGGTCTCTGTGTATCTATGGGTCTCTGTGTATCTATGGGTCTCTGTGTATCTCTCTGTGGGTCTCTGTGTATCTATGGGTCTCTGTGTATCTCTCTGTGGGTCTCTGTGTATCTATGGGTCTCTATGTATCTCTCTATGGGTCTCTGTGTATCTATGGGTCTCTGTGTATCTCTCTGTGGGTCTCTGTGTATCTATGGGTCTCTATGTATCTCTCTATGGGTCTCTGTGTATCTATGGGTCTCTGTGTATCTCTCTGTGGGTCTCTATGTATATCTATGGGTCTCTATGGGTCTCTGTGTATCTATGGGTCTCTATGTATCTCTCTGTGGGTCTCTATGTATCTCTCTGTGGGTCTCTATGGGTCTCTGTGTATCTATGGGTTTCTCTGTATCTCTCTGTGGGTCTCTATGTATCTCGACGAGTCTCTATCTCTATGGGTCTCTATGTGTAGAGGAGTGAAATACGCGGTGCGCACAGGGCAACTGAGGGCAAACAGGTGAGCGTGTGCCACATGAGGTTGCACGGACAAACAGCCAGTTGCGAAGGGGCTAAGCGGGTGCAAACGGGGTCGACCAGCTGTGCACGTTGGAGGTGTTGCCAGGGAGACGGGAGATGAGGGTCGATTGATGGGCCAACAGGCTCCGGCCTGGCGAAAATATACAGCAGCAGGCATCGTCAGGGTCGGGATAGAACCCACGACCTCCCGTACACCAGGCGAGGTAGTTAACATCTCATAGCCACCGCGGTGATGATGAGAGAGACGCAGACTCCAAATATACAGCAGCAGGCATCGTCAGTGTCGGAATAGAACCCACGACCTCCCGTAAACCAGGCGAGGTAGTTAACATCTCCTAGCCACCGTGATGATGATGAGAGACACACAAACTCCAAAAATACAGCAGCAGGCATCGTCAGGGTCGGAATAGAACCCACGACCTCCCGTATACCAGGCGAGGTAGTTAACATCTCATAGCCACCGTGGCGAGATGTGACCCCCACAGATATTGGGACCCGCGATGTGTGGAACGTCCGCTGACTGTTGCCACTGCCGCTCCCACATTGGAATCATCGCATGATGAAAGTGAACGATGAAGTATGACTAGGACCGTGATCGGGTCGAGAGAGGCGCAGCCGCTCGCGTCCCTGTTGCCGGCAGGCACGTGGCACTAGCCTCGTGGGGGCTGTTGGGTCTCCTCCATTCCTGCCCCTCTACCCCACCCGCACGTGACCTGCCGGTTCAATCCCAGCGGACCCCCTCCTCCACTGGATACATCACCGTGGGTTCAATAGCCGCCTTGATAACAATAATCATAATACTCGGAGCTACGCGCCGTCGTTAGCAAGGGGAGGGCCGTGCCGTGTCGTCGCCGTCGAGGCTGAACATTTGCCAAATTCGCAAAAATCTTACCGCAAAAAAATTCGCTCCATTGGGATCACACACACACACAGCAGCGGCGGCGGCATCATCGTCGTCATCATCGGCGCCCCCTCCAACTGGCAGCAGACTGATGCACAGGGACAGCTGCCACTGGGGGGCCCCTAAGCCAGACACACACAGCAGCAATCGTCGCTACCCCTACCGGCAGGAGGCGCACGCACGCCCCACGCTACCCGAGCGAAGTCGGCGCTGAACCTGGAGATCACGCACCCCCTGGTGGTGCGAGACGTGGGCAGGTTTTTGTTTAAGGAGGTAAATCTTCGAAACACAAATTAAGTATGCGTTTATTGACATTCTTTTTTTACGATGAAGAACTAATGATTAATTTTCAACCTATCTACGTGACTTTAGCGAAAGACCCAAAGAATATGGATTCCTGCAGTCACGACAGCTTTAAGTCAAGAGAGACCCAACGGGGTGCAGGGCTGCAGTAAACATTCAGAGCCGCTGCTCGAGCGAAAGAGACCTCTGATCCCGGCCTCTACACAACCCTGCTTACACAAAACCAACTTGGAACATGCCCATCGCCGTGTCTGTGACTGGCCTACTGCTGATTGGGCAGAGGGAGCGAGGTGGGTCTAAGAAACTTGCCCTGCCATCAAGGACGTAGCCATGGAGTCAACTTTGGGGGAGACCAAATCTTCCAGGGAGTCTGGGGGTCCCCCCTCCCACAAAAAAGCAACATTTTAAAACAAAATTCCTGCCTAAAATATTTTTAAAAATTCACTAACACATAGGATGCACTTTCAACTTTTTTTTTACAATAATGTCTAATAGTGTATTGTATTACATTGCTGTTTTTTCTTTTGATACCTTTTCTTGTTTCATTGTATGCAATGGCAGAGTTTAGGGATTAATGAAGTACAACCATAACCACAATCATCTCAACAGAAATCTATTTTTACCAATATATTGCGGGGGACATTTTGAGCATATTTGAATGTTAGAATGACGGCCTCCCCTGCCATTGCTTCACCATCGGCCTGGGAGTGGTGGGATCGACCCGGCGACCCTCTGGATCGCAAATCGAGAAGGAGGCAACTCCCCTTTGAAACACGGCTGGGGCAGCGGCATTCCTTTGTAAGCGGAATGTAATTACATCAATACAACAACAACAACCCCGTAAGTGACCTTTCTTCTCATCAACTGACTCGTGTTGTCGTCTAACAACAGAGGAGGTTTTAACTATTTTTTTTGGTCTCAAATTCCGCGGCTCAGTTAAAACAAACTTGATTTGGAGCTTTCCGTGACTGCGGGAATTACTCTTTGGTTCTTTCGGTAAAGTCACGTAGAAAGAGAAAATAATACATTAAATACTAGCATACGACGTTTCGATTGCAACACAAGCAATCATCATCAGGTACAAATGAAAGAGAAAAAGAAACCTAGTAAACTTAGAAATATAATGCGATACAACACAGAGAGTCGGCTAACACAACAGTCAACACCCCACCTGGTTGATTACGTTCTTCCAAAGATGTCTCAATTTGAGAGAGAGACACAGACACTGAGACACACATACAGACACTAAGCAGAGAGATAACACAGAGAGACACACAGAGAGAGACACAGAGAGAGAGACTCACACAGAGACACACACAGAGACACACACAGAGAGATAACACATAGACACACAGAGAGAGACACACAACATAGACACACAGACATACACACAAGCAGAGAGAGAACACACACAGAGACATAGAGACTCACACAGAGACACACAGAGAGAGACAACACAGAGACACACAGAGAGAGACACACATATACACACAGACATACACACAAGCAGAGAGAGATAACACAAAGACAGAGAGACTCACACAGAGACAAGCAGAGAGAGAGAACACAGAGACACACAGAGAGAGACACAAGCAGAGAGAGACACACACACACACATAGACACACAGAGACACACAGAGAGACACACACACACATATACACACAGACAGACACACAAGCAGAGAGAGATAACACAGAGACACAGAGAGAGAGAGAGACTCACACAGAGACAAGCAGAGAGAGAACACACACATAGACACAGAGAGAGACACACACAACATAGACACTCACACAAAGACAAGCAGAGAGAGAGAACACATAGACACAGAGAGAGACACACACAACATAGACACTCACACAGAGACAAGCAGAGAGAGAGAGAGAACACATAGACACAGAGAGAGAGGCACACACATAGACACACAGACATACACACAAGCAGAGAGAGAACACACACATAGACACAGAGAGAGAGAGACACACACATAGACACGGAGTCTCGGAAGCCGCCCAAAGTCGCACCTCTGCGGTAATAGGGAGACAATTGTTGTTGTTGTTTCTAGATGTGAAGCTGTCGTGAGTGCAAGGATTCATATTCTTGGGTTTTTTCGGTAAAGTCACGTAGGTAGAAAATTAAAATCAATAAAAGTAAAATAAAAATCACAACTTTTATTAATTTTAATTTTCTACCTACGTGATTTTACCGAAAAAACCTAAGAATATGTTGTTGTTGTTGTTAAAATGCCCGATCCAAATCGAGTAACTTGTACAAATTTCAATTCAAATTTGCCATTATTTGGTTTGCCACGTAGCAGCAGGCAGGCTGTGGTCGCGAACATTATTACCCATTGTGATTTGAAGCTTTCGTGACTGCAGGACTCCATACTCTTTGGTTCTTTCGGTAAAGTCAGGTAATTAGAAATAAAATAATAAATATATTTGATAAAATTCTTGAAAACGGCGTAATTAGAAATAAAATAAAATAATAATTATATTTTTTTAAATTCGGAAAAGTCGCGTAATTTGAAATAAAATTAAATAATAACTATATTTTATAAATTTTTCTCACTACGTGACTTTACCGAAAGAACCACATTTTTTTTTGTTAGTTACATCGCGCAAATATAACTGTGTCGTTAAACCCCTGCCAGCACCCGACCACAGACAATTGGTAAGGTTTGTCACGTAAACAGAACGTGCCAATTCGTTACTGAATGTTGTGGGTTTCACTCTCCGACACACCACCGGTTAGTGCTGAACTAGCAGTAACAATAACCCTGGAACCAATTGGCATATTTAGCAGACCGTGACGCGGGCCAGTTCCACGGTGGCCTCCTCCTCTTGCCAACGCCGTCACAGCTTTCTCTGTGGGTCTTTCGCTAAAATCACGGAGGTAGAAATACAATAAAATAAATCACGACGTTTCGAACGCAACACAAGCGCTCGTCTTCAGGTGAGAATCGCGACGGCTGCGATGTCTGCTGCCTAGTTAAGAGAAGCTGTTACCACACTCTTTGGTTCGTAGTTATAAAATAAAATATAACGACGGGACTTTACCGAAAGTACCAAGAATACGAATCTCTGCAGTCACGAAAGCTTCAAATCAAGATTGAAGCTGGTACCAGCAAAGAGTTTATATACGTTTAAAGGTAATAAATAGCGTGCCATGTTAAAGGGAATATACTTAGATTAGCTTGTAGGATTCTAGTGCAAAGTTAATGAGCTTCCGTAGCGCACAAGTACTCAGACTAGCAAGTAGGATGAGAATACGTCACGGATTCTTTGACTTCCACGCACTAAAGGAGGGGGGGGGGGGTAACGCTTCGTATCTGCTGCACGCTTTCACTGCGTCGCTTCGTGCGCTGAACCGGTTAGATCTGCGGTCACAGACGGAGGGAGGGAGGGGAGGGAGGGGGGCATGGCGTGCTAACACTCTGAACGCCCTCGATGACCCGCGGCGGGGGGGGGGTCACGCGGTTCGTCCCCAGCGTGAAGAGACCCGCATTCAACTCCATCGGCGAGACCCGAGTTCATACTGGTAGGAACCTCCTGGTTACATCAGCCCACAGGGGATTGTTGTGTCCGTCGTGCAGGGAGGGGCTGGGTGGGGAGGGAGGGGCTGGGTGGGGAGGGTGGGGCTGGGTGGGAGGTGGGAGGGGTGGGGCTGGGTGGGGAGGGGCTGGTCACCCCGTGGTGCCCTTATACAACTCAACGTTTAACCTACTCACGCCGGCTTGTGCCCGCCCTCACAGTCGGGCATATTTGCGGAATACACCAGGCCTCCGTTGACCCTGCAGGCCATTGACCGAGCAACGCAACGTTCCTACCAGCTCCCTCCGCAGGAATGAGTTTTTATTCCGTTCGAGTTCACGCACCCCGGGGTTGAGACCATGCTGGGAGGAGGGGGAGTTCCTGCGGAGGACTTTGCTGGTTTTTTTTTTCTTCTTGGTTCTTTCGGTAAAGTCACGTAGAAGGGAAGTAATAAAATAATAAAAATAAAACATAATAAAACAATTCTCACGACGTTTCGGCCACAACGCAAGCAGCCGTCCTCAGGTGAAAACCAGGTCCGTCGAGGCGACAGAGTCTGAATGAAACAGCACACGAGCTTGGAGCATATATATAAGCTGGGCGCATTGACAAAGGAATTTGCATATCAAAAGGAATTTAGCATATTTATGGGAAATGCAGGAATGTGATTAGTACTGCATATGCATATGCATTATGCAGGATTAACAGCATCAAAGGGAGCTGCAGTTACTGCTGCTGCAGTTGCTGCTGCTGCTGCAGTTTCTGCTGCTGCTGCAGTTGCTGCTGCTGCTGTTACTGCTGCTGCTGCACTTACTGCTGCTGCTGCAGTTTCTGCTGCTGCAGTTTCTGCTGCTGCTGCAGTTGCTGCTGCTGCTGCAGTTGCTGCTGCTGCTGTTACTGCTGCTGCTGCACTTACTGCTGCTGCTGCAGTTGCTGCCTTATCCATTTTAATATAACACTATGTATTATTCTACCCACCCTAATGTGTATCACACTGCTATATGTTTACTATACAATTACGACACCATACATTACTTATATATATGCTCAGCTTGTATATATGCTCCAAGCTCGTGTGCTGTTTCATTCAGACTCTGTCGCCTCGACGGACCTGGTTTTCACCTGAGGACGGCTGCTTGCGTTGTGGCCGAAACGTCGTGAGAATTGTTTTATTATGTTTTATTTTTATTATTTTATTACTTCCCTTCTACGTGACTTTACCGAAAGAACCAAGAAGATGAATCCCTGCAGTCACGAAAGCTTTAAATCGAAATTTGCTGGTTTTGTTCCTGGATTTTTCTGTTGCGCGTCGTCACTTTAAAATGTCGAGCTCCGTTTGAGACGAGGCTCAAAAGAAAGCCGTCTCTGGTGTGGACCAATCAGTTTCAAGGTCAATGCCAACACATTATCAGTGTGTTTATTTTTCTTCTTGGTTCTTTCGGTAAAGTCACGTAGAAGGGAAA